TGGAAAAAGACAGAGATTTGCGGACTTAGCGTAGGGAGTGCAAAGTGCCAGCAACCCACCAGTTACAGAAAAGAGCATCGCAAAGGCCAGCTCTTTCCCATACACTGAAGAGGGGAATGTGTCTGTTCTTCCCGCAATCTGCATAGTGAGGCTTGTGTGCATTTACAGTGCGTGCGCTGAAGAATTTTCCCACCAGCAGAAAAACACTCACACATGGCCCGGTCTGTCACATCTTCAATGACGTAATTTCATTTGTAGTCACGTACAAGTGATCAGGGAGCAGCAGACACCTCTTGTCCCCCCTATTGCAAATACTTTATTGCCTCGGCTTGGGGCTTTAGCCCTGTGGCTTCTGTCCCAGTTTGTCCCCCCGAAAGCAAATACTTTATTGCCTCGGCTTGGGGCTTTAGCCCTGTGGCTTCTGTCCCAGTTTCAGCCTTGCAGGGGGTACCAGGGCAACACACGGTTCTGTTCCCAGTTCCAGCTAGGGTGGTGCTCCCCTCGTAGCTAAAGCCCTGAGCCTTGGCCCTCCCCTGCAGGCCTGAAGCTGGGAAAGGAGCTGCAGGACTGATGCCTCAAGGCCTGGCGCTCCATTCCTGTGAGCAGCAGAAGCTGTCGGCTGAGGATGGAGGGGACTCTGACTGAACATCTTCAATGACGTAATTTCATTTGTAGTCACGTAGAAGTGATCAGGGAGCAGCAGACACCTCTTTATTGCAAATACTTTATTGCCTCGGCTTGGGGCTTTAGCCCTGTGGCTTCTGTCCCAGTTTCAGCCTTGCAGGGGGTACCAGGGCAACACACGGTTCTGTTCCCAGTTCCAGCTAGGGTGGTGCTCCCCTCGTAGCTAAAGCCCTGAGCCTTGGCCCGCCTTGGCAACACCCTGCAGGCCTGAAGCTGGGAAAGGAGCTGCAGGACTGATGCCTCAAGGCCTGGCGCTCCATATGGGCAGAAGCTCTGAACCCCTTCCCAGCCCCCTTGGAGCCTTGACACACACATCCCTTCAGTCCCAGGGCCAGAGTGAGGGTCTCCATCAAGCTGGAGCCTTGACACACACACCCTTCAGCCCCAAGTCCCAGGGCCAGAGTGAGGGTCTCCATCAAGCCCTAGACTGCGCCGCAACATTTCAGGAACTGCATTTCCAAAACTCTCACAGAACAGTCAGACTCCAAGCCAGTTAGGAGGGGTGTGTGGCTGACTGCCTACAGTCAGACTGGGCTGACTGTATGTGTTGTAATTACTTGGTGGCTACTTAGAGCTCTTAGGTTATCACTAACTGGAGTTACATGGTAACAGTGGGAGAAGACAGATCTTCCTGCTCCAGCCCCTATCATCTGAGCTAAATGTCCGCTGCCCCTGAGCTGTCTAGGGCCTATGACACACAGCAGACAAAGGGGAGCTGGAAGAACACTTAAAAACATAGCTGGAGGGGATGTCTTTTGATGCCACAGTGAGTAGGGGAACACCAAGGTCTGAATGTCTATGGAGACTAATTTCCACCTGAGCCAAGGAAACAGTGCAGGTCGAGGGAGGTGTGCAAGTGTCAAGACAGAAATGATGGAGACAGAATTCCTTCAGCCCCTGGGGGGAGGGGGCTGTTTCTCTGCGATGGCAGAGGTCAGAGCCTTAGGTGAAAAAGAGCAAACGGGATGCACGGGTTGGAATGACAAGGGAGACCGGAGAGTCCTCGTGCTCTTGAAGATGCTAGTGTGACCCTCTGCTCCACACTGGCGTCTTGAGAAAAGAAGAGAGGTCTCCTTGCTGAAGGGCGTAGGAGTCCTGTGGGAAGTGGCCACAGATTGGGCGTGACCTGTGCTGTGTCAAGGTTGGACTGAATTTCTTCCTCCATAAATAACACGGGCCCCATCAATGAAAATCCCAGAAACATTTTATTTGTGTAGGAAGGTCAATGCTGCTTAAAAACCCCTTGCTGCAAAACAAGGCTTTTCTCCAGGGGCCAGGCAAGGGGTGCACCTCTGGGCCCAGCGAGGTGCCTCCCGGCCGTGAGAGAAAGGTCAGCAGTTTCACCCAATAGCGGAGGTGACTTTATACCAGCTGGAGGATCGCGTCTGGCAGCCTCCAAGACCGGCTCTGTCCAAAAACAAGTCTTCAGTCACATTGGGTCGGGTTTGGGCCAAACCAGGACTCAAAATCAACAGCAAAACAGAGGGAGAAAAATATCTAGTAACCCTGTGTCACCTAAGGGGTTGTTACTAGCCCCCATCAACACTGGTGGAACACCACTGTTCAATTCATTTGTGGCCAGATAGGTTATTTCATAGTTTGGCCACTCCCGGGGGGTCCCCAGCAGCTACCTGGACTCCTTTGAACAAAGTCAATATCCACATCGCCGCAGAACAGTATCATGTGCGAACGGGTGGGAGGGCAGAGAGTCCCCGAGATAGGACCGGCTCTTTTACCGGGCGAAGCGTGTGGTTGGATAGATTAACAATGTTGTTGATTGACTTGGAGCAAGTCACTCAAGTTTTCTGCCTCTATTTCCACATCTGTGAAATGGGAACAGCACTTTCTCCCCCTCCCACTGATTCCAAAAGGGGGGGGGCAGATTTACTTCATTAGCAGGGGTTTGTAAAAGTCTGGCAGGATGAAAAAATGCTATGCAAGCCCAGTCCTGTGAGGTGCTAAGCACCCTGGTTGGGTTAAATCCTGATGAGCTTACTCCAGTGTTACTTGGACAACTAATGTCAAGGAGGTAAAACCTGAGAAAGGGCTAAGAAATCGCTGACTCTCTAGCTTTGTATGAGGCTGCCCGCCACTGTGGCATCTCCAGGGGATGTGACTGCACTAGGGAGCTGAAGGCACTGTAGGCCTTTTGCAGGGAGAGCCATTGTGACCTGCCCCCTGCCCCTTGTTTGCCTGGCCAGCAAGGCTGCTCGGGTATTCCTAGCGGGGGCCTTTGGGCTTTGATTCGTGCCGGGGCTGAGGTGGTGTTCTGGCACCAGCTGATTGTGGGCCTGGCTCCAGTCAAAGAGGCTCCCTTGTTCGGCTTCGGTACTGTCCCGGGGGGATTGTCCGTGAAGTTTCTCAACAAGGCGGATTTGTGCCGTTTGCCCATCTGGACGAGATCTACAATGAGAGACACTGTGAGCTGTGCCAGGACTTTGCCCCTTTCTGCAGCCTGGCGCTCGGCCCCAGGCAGGCAGAGATTTAAAGGGACACCCGCTGCTCACTGTGCTGTGCCTTGCACTTCGAATCCTCGAATCCTAGGGCTGGCAGAGCCCTCAGGAGTCATCCAGTCCCCTGCCCAAAGCAGGACCAACCCAACTCAATCATCCCAGCTGGGGCTTTGCCATGCCAGGACTTAAAAACCCCTAGGGATGGAAACTCCACCACCTCCCTAGGTAACCCATTCCAGTGCTTCCCCACCCTCCTAGGGAAATAGTTTCCCCTAATATCCAACCTAGACCTCCCCCACTGCAACTTGAGACCATTGCTCCTTGTTTTGCCATCCATCACTACTGAGAACAGCCTCTCTCCATCCTCTTTAGAACCCCTTCTCAGGAAGCTTAAGGCTGCTCTCAAATCCCCCCTCACTTTTCTCTTCTGTCGACTGACTAAGCCCAAATCCCTCAGTTACATCTACACTGCAGGCTTCTTGTGCAAGAGCAGGTCCACACCTCAAAGCGCTTCGCAGAAGCGATGTGCTTTTGCGCAAGAGAGCGTCCACACTGCATGGACGCTCTTGTGCAAGAAAGCTCTGATGGCCATTCACAGAATGGCTATCAGAGCACCTGTGCTTTTTCCCTCTGGAGTGTCCACACTTGCCTTTTTGTGCTCCAGCCCCCTAATCATTTTTGTTGTCCGCCGTTGGGCCCTCTCCAATGTGTCCACATCCTTTCTGTAAGGGGTGGGGGCAGAACTGGACGCAGTACTCCAGATAGTGCTGAATAGAGGGGAACGATCGCTTCTCTAGATCTGCTGGGTGGGGGCAGAACTGGACGCAGTACTCCAGATAGTGCTGAATAGAGGGGAACGATCGCTTCTCTAGATCTGCTGGCAATGCCCCTCCTAATGCAGCCCAATATGCCATTAGCCTTCTTGGCTACAAGGACACACGGACTCATATCCAGTTTCTCATCCACTGTAATCCCCAGGTCCTTTTCTGTGGAACTGCTGCTTAGCCAGTATGCCCCCAGCCTGTTACAATGCTTGGGATTCTTCCGTCCCAAGTGCAGGACTCTGCCCTTGTCCTTGTTGAACCTCACCAGATTTCTTTTGGCCCAATCCTCCAATTTGTCAAGGTCACTCTGGACGCTATCCCTGCCCTCCAGCATATCTACCTCCCCCCAACCTTAGTGTCGTCTGTGAACTTGCCTGTAACAGGGTTCTAGACAAATGAGCAGCCCACTTCTCCTGATAAGGTTGTCCTTGTTTACCTGGCAAACGCTAGCTCCTTCTCCTGCCCCAGTGTGTGTGGGGAGCAGAAGCCCCAGATGTGGCTGTATAGCATGAGTGCCAGGATCTCTGAGGATATGAGCCCTGCTTTGGGCACTGTCTGGGTTAGTTATATGGGAATAGGAGAGCCCAAAAGGCCAGAAAGGGAGCATAACAGCACAACAGGCTGTGTCTAGACTGGCAAGTTTTTCCACAAAATCAGCTGCTTTTGCGGAAAAACTTGCCAGCTGTCTACACTGGCCGCTTGAATTTCCACAAGAACACTGACTTCCTACTGTAAGAAATCAGAGCTTCTTGCGGAAATACTATGCTGCTCCCATTCGGGCAAAAGCCCTCTTGCGCAAATGATTTGCGCAAGAGGGCCAGTGTAGACAGCACAGTACTGTTTTGCGCAAAAAAGCCCCGATGGCTAAAATGGCGATCGGGGCTTTTTTTGCACAAAAGCACGTCTAGATTGGCACAGACGCTTTTCCGCAAAACGTGCTTTTGCGGAAAAGCATCCGTGCCAATCTAGATGCTCTTTTCCGCAAATGCTTTTAAAGGAAAACTTTTCCGTTAAAAGCATTTGCGGGAAATGACGCCCGTCTAGACATAGCCACATTGTTTTTTTGTAGGACCTATATAAACTGTGCCTATTGCTTTTCTTTCTTGGGGAAGAGCCGTGGATTTTTCTAAGCTATTGCAGGTCTGTCCTTCCCCAGATTATTAGAACCCTGAAGATTTAGGCCTAGGTTACGTGACCAAATAGCCATGATATAATGCTGCTGACTTCAACAGAATTACAACGGGGTGACTTGGATCCAGTATAACATTATCCAGCTAGCCTAGTGGTGCTGGGGAGGGCAAATAGGTGGGGAATGGAAGTAGACTGGTGAAAGCCAGCACTTCCTCCTTCTGCCTTTTTAGGGTTGAAAGCACATGCCTTACCTCTTCCTGCCCCAGCAGGATTTGATCCTGTTCTCACTGTGGCAGGAGGCAACTCCCCAGGAGAGATCAAAAGTGCTGATCTAGGGATCCTGGCCATCCCCAGAATCCCTGCCCTTTGGACGCCGACAAGACAACCCCTCCTCCTCTTTGGAGTCAACAGCACCTCAGAGACCTCGGCTGCCCCCTGGCACCTTTGCGAGAGAGCTCAGTCTCATCAGACCTTCTCTTTGGTTCTGAGCACCGTTACGTTCCAGTTTAACTAGCAGGAGTTACGGTGGCTCATCCTGCACAGGATGGGCCCTTATTTATTGTGGCTTTTTTTAAAACCACCCTTTCCCTCCTGCACCTGAAATCTACGCTAGAGCACTGCATGAGGTGTGTGGCTCCGTCCGGCGGGAGAGGAGAAGGGGAACGGATGGGCTGGATCCAGGGGAGGACTGGGAGCGTTTCTTCACAGAGGAAGTCAAGAACATAAATGTGGCCCCTAGACAGCCAGCCGGAACCATCTCCAGAGCTGGTCCAGGGCTCTCTGCTGCACTGCCGCTTTCTGACCAGTCTCCTAAGAGTGTGGGAGGAGGCTGGGTGACTTGCTCTTGACATACTCACCCCATGGGGCCCCCCTCCAGCAGCGCCTCTGCCCCGTGGCCATAAAGAATTAAGGACAAGAGCAAGGAGATGAGACGGCCAAGAATGTAAATATCAGCGGAAGAATGTAAATACCCCCCGGAGTGGTGTCTGTCCATTGCTGCCGGGTCTGGTTTGCAGGGCGGGATGGGCCTTGCCCAGACGAGCTCAAGATCTCATTAATAACAAGCAGCACAGCGACCCCCAACACCATGCTGGGGTAGGGGTGGATGGAGTAGGGCTAGGTTCTCGCGGGCAGCATGTGTCCAGGTTTCTCAGCTGGTCCTAGACGTTCCGGCTCAGAGCGAGACAAGGCCCCGGCAAAGCTACTAATGCCCTGACTGGTGCTGGGGACAGAGGCCAGCCCACACAGCCGGGCGGGCGCACCCGAGACCAGGAAGATGAGGCGGCTCCCCTGCATGGCGCCATGTTTCATGTGGCCTCAGGGTGCCTGGTGGATCTCCTCGGACCGCAGCACTTTGTAGATCACCCAGTAGAAGACGTTAAACACCAGGAAGGTGAAGGGGAAGACGGCTCGGGAGATGGTGTCGATCCGCTTGGCCCTGTCGACGTAGTGCCTGAAGACGACCTCCCCCTCCCTCAGGAAGGGGGCCGGGGGAGGTGGGCTGTAGATGCTGGGGCCCTCCGCGGCACCACCATCCCTCATGTGTAGGCAGTGGCCGAGGCCGTAGCCGCGGAAGTAGAAGCGGCTCTCGCGGACCACCTCTTCCTCCTGGGGAGACGCAGGTGAGAAGGGAAGGACACAGCACGTGAGTTCAGGGCCACGGGCCACAGATTATAAGGCTGGATCGTGCAGGTAGAAGGGTGAGCTTAGCAGATCCCCTAGCGGGGAGTGCCACTGTAGCCAGTAAGATTGTGCCTACGCCCAGGGCTTCACGCATGCACGCCTTTCCTGGGCCAGGGCTGTGCTCTGCATGCATTACACACGTGAGTCACCCAGACAGTGGTTCTCAACCCACAGCCCTCTTGTGGCCCAGTCAGCACACTGCTGCGGCCCACGACGGCCTCAGGGCCATACTGGGAGTACAGTGAAACCTTTGTTATCCGGCACTCTGTTAACCAGAAAACTCTGTTAACCGGCATTGCCCCCAGCCACAATACTGTCACATCTTCAGGCGCACAGGCCTGGCTTCGTTTACCATGAATGGCTTAACAATGTTTTATTTAAGAAGTACTAATCGTCTTTAACTCAACATAGAAATGTGAGACCAACTGCCTCACACTACAAAACTACCAATATTAAAAATTTGAGTTTTCCGACTATTGTCCATTGGTTTTTCTTAGGTTGATGGGACCCTCAGATAACCGGAATTTTTAGATAACCGGAACGCCCTAATCCCCAAGCATGCTGGATAACACAGGTTATATATATTGGGTGGAGAGAGCTGCATGTGAGGCCTACAAGGGTAAATACACTGAAAACCATAGAGATAAGATAATCCATCTTCAAACAGTCTACCTCCCCCAAAGCCCTGGAGTAAGGAACCAGTCACGTCTACACACCGGCATGATTCCAGGAAAAACCAGGAAATCCCAGTGAAGTGGTACCCAACCCTAGTAACCTCCCGTGGATTATCTTCCCCGCAACACTCCCATCTCCACACACACTCAGCAGGCAGTCTGCCCTGCAGAGCAGGCAGCAGGGCGGGGAATGGCTCTTCTCGACCTGCTCCGGAGGCTGAGGGGCGTAGTGGAAGGGAAGGGCTGGCATGCGTGGTGGCAGGTTGTCAGGGGCCGGGCGTGTTTCAGGGTGTTGTGGTGGATGGTGGCTGAGGGACGGTGTGTTTGTAACAGCGGTCATTGGGGGAGGAGGAGGCATGCTGGGTTTTAGCAATAGCTGACTGGGGGAGGTTGAACGAGCTGCGTGGAGCTGGAGGGAGGAGGCCAGTGTGTTGGGTGGCAGGTGGGTGATGTAAGAGCTGAAACCACCAAGCCTCTCTCCTCAGCTTCTCTCACCCCAGGCCTTCCTCACGCAACCCTGCTCCCCCACATCCTCCCCTGCCCCCCATGTTCCTCCTGCACAGCCCCTCGCCACCCCAAGGGACTCCCCCTGCTGCTGCTGGACCAGGGACGAGCAAAGCAACAGGGGTAACCAGGGCAAGAGGAGGTCAGGGCCTCAGCTTCCAAGCTTGGAGGGCTCCCAGCTCACTGAGGCAGCAGCCCCACCCGGAGTCCCTGCAGCACCATTGCCCGTGTAGCTGCGGGAGAGCCATGGCAGCAGAGCCTGGGAAGCCAAGTGTCCCTGCACAGAGTCCTTATCCCCAGAAGAGCTAGCAGGCCGGTCGGGGGACTCGCTGCAATCCCCGGAGTGCGTAAGAGAGGGACTGTTCTACACAACCCCCTGACTCTGGTCACCACCGACCCCTCCGCGAGGCAGGGGTATGGCGGCAGGTGGCTGGAAGGTCCAATCCACATCTGCTTGCGGGGGAGTCTGCTATCACTATCTGTTGTGCAGACATGGAGTGAACTACACCTGTTGTTGTGTGTCTACAGAACAAGACTCATGGACAGAAGCAGCCATATGATACTAGGACTCCAGTCAGTGCTCAGCTCCCCAGAACGGCTGTTTTGGCTGCCAGGGCAGGGTTGGCAAGCTCTGAGTGGATATTTCTACCCTGTCTCCTTACACTGCATTATCCTGCCGCAAAGCAGAGCTGCGTCTGGGTCGCTCCATAGGGAGGACTTTAGCGTGCCTGTCGGTGTGGGGTGCTTACAGAAAGAGATTGACCCAGATCTGGGAGGAGCGTTTGCACAGCTTCCTAGGGGTCACTTAGCTTCGCTTCCACTCCTGGGTAGCATTGCTGTGTGCTGTTTAACAGTGGCGATTTCACCCCAGAAGTGGCTGCATTTCTGTAATGGGTAAAATGAGCCAGAGGCATCCTTTCCCTAGCACTATGTAGAGTTGCCAGGCTAAAACATTTAGTGGGCCAAATTCTGCGCTGACTTCCCTAGGATGCAGCGGCCCTTCGATGGAAGTGCCCCCCATTATTCTAGTGATCAGTGGAAAGGAGTCTGATCGCGAGGTTAAGCTGCTGGACTGGCGCTCACAAGACTTGGGATCAACACATGGCTCCACTACAGATGTTGGGCAACTCTGTACCTCTCCCCAAGCTTCTCTTTGTAGGTAGTAGCCTCTCTGGTACCCACAGTCCTGTCTATTCGGGTTGTGAGCACTTCAGGGCCGGGGCTGTCCCTTTCTGCGTAGAACAACTGACCCCGTGGGGTTCTGATCTCATTGGGGGGCCGTGAACACTACCGCCCTGCAAAGTATCATGAAAATGGTGTTGCTACAGGTCCCTCCGATCCCTGGATACAAGGGCCACAATTGGAAAGCACAATTATCCATCATCACTTTTTGTGCTTAGTTCTCACTTTCCCGAGAGTCCCAGCACAGGCCTGCTCATTGCATGAGTGAGCAGGGACCAAAGTCCTCCTCCTCCTCCACCATGTTCATTTCTGGGGTGGAGATCAGTCAGCCCAGGGGGTTCTCATGCAGAGAGAGCCCTGAGTTGGCTCTTTGTTTAACAGGGGAACCTGCCTACTAATCAAGTTGCTCCCAGTGGGGAGAACAGGGAGCTGGTAAATTATTGATATTCGTTTTCTTTTGTTGCAGAGCTTTATTTGTCCTTTCGTTAGATATATTGCTAGCTGCCAAGTCCAGGCAAGCGGAGAGCGTGCCCGCCGAGGAACGGCACACGCAGCAGGGTTGCTAAAGGTGAACTGCAAAGCCAGACAGAGGGTAGCGCCCTTCAGCGCTCCTTTAGGAGCTGCAATGAGGAGCTCAGCTTTTTCTTACGCTCCAGACGCAGGTGGGGCTCTGCCGGGGTTTGTTTGGCGCTTTTGGGAAGATCATCAATCCCCAAGACCTGCAGTAATACCAGGCCTTGCCTGGGCTGACGCTGGGTCCCCAAAGCCACCATCAGTAGCAGCTGCGATGCGGCTACAATAGAGCAAACCTCCAGCGGAGGTTGGCAAATCTGGTCTGTGCACCTGCAGAGCTGCCTGAAAGTCATGTGAGCTGCCCACATGACACATGGTGGCTGCGAGGCCAAACTCTGCATGGGATTTGTACGAGTGTACTTATGCTAGAGGCTGGAATCGGGGCAAATCCCTGGACAAGGCTGCCTTGCGTGTTCTGGGAATCAGCCGGCGGCAGGGAAGGGAGCCTGAAATTGAGATATTTAACCCTTCGTTGGAAGGCTGAAATCCTGCTTTGTCTGGGTATTCTGCAGCGAGGTCTTTCTGTTTCATGGCACACCGGTGCAGCCAGCCAGAGATGCGGTGGCCGTTCCATGTATAGAACGAGAGTGAGGACTGGATTCACCTAGACATGGCTACTCCAATCCCCGGAGAGCCCTCTCCATTACTGAATCTGACCTGGCCTTCTGTTTGTTTTATGCTGCCCGCAAATTGTAAATGTCCCATGGGCTGCAGAACTTTGTAGGGCAGCTGCCTAACAAGCTGGCAGTGAGGTGGGCAGGCTCTCTGGCTTTCGGGGATAGTGACTCTAGCGGGGTGTTCAGACAATCAGCGGTGGAACAATTCCATCACTGAACTTTGCACCGTCCCTCGGATTTGAAATGGAACACCCTCTTGAGATGAACACACAGTTCACCCCTCTGAGAGCTGCTCTTTCAGGCTGTCTGCAGACTAATGTACTGGTTCCATTCGCATCACCTCTGGGAAGTTTTCTCCCCAGGTGTAAGGGCTAGAAACACCCGGCTGAGGTTGTGTGTGGCATCTCCAGGGGGCACGCCACAGAACTCAAGCCCTGGGGGAGGGTGGGCCAAGGTGGCTTGAAGCCAGGGGCCATGTCTCCTCATGACAGCGCTGCTGTTTGAAAGCAACAACTACACTCGCGTGGGACTGCACAGCTGAAATCTGTACAGCCCCTCTCTGCAGTGGAGAGACTGGCCGTGTCACGGGAGCGTGCACACAACCCTGGCGACAAGGCACGAAAGGAACAGACTCCAGCTCGCTCTCCCACAGGTTTGCCTCAGTTTCAGCCACTGATGCCTGGCCACCAGCATTAAGGTGGAGTCGTGCAAATGGCAGCTGACAGCACTTGACCTTGTCTACATGGGCGGGGTGTGAGTCCCAGGGCCAGTGGCTGGCCACCGAAGGCTGAAAGCAGGATTCACTGCCAGCACGCTGCTGGGGAAAAGGTGTCGGTTTTGCAAGGACACTTTTCAGAATGGAACAGCTTCAGTTAGTGCCCCAGCTACACTCCAGACACAACCCCGGTACCGGCTCTGCCATGCGGCCCATTGGGAGTGCAGCTGGGCCCTTACACTGTAAACTTCTTGGAGCAGGGGGTTGGGCCCAGTTCTGCTCTCTGCAAGGCTGGTGTAACTCTGGATTCAGTGTGTTTGTCCTAGATTTACCCTGGGGAGACAGAGCACAATGTCTCCTCTTGTCTTTACTGGGTCTTTCATTGAGTAAACATGCCGGTGAGAATTTATGCAGAGGGGAAACCAGGAGCATTCAATCTACTTGGCTTCCATTTTCCCTTTGGAATTAGGGAGCTGTGAAGCAGAGGAAGGAAGTGGTAAGAGCGGGCTATGGTGAGGGAGAGGAGCAGGGAGGCAGCTCAGAGGTGCACAGGGATGGCTGGTAGGACAGCTGGGCTTTCAGGGTCGCTGTGACGCGATGGAGGGGCTGGGCGAGATCAGAGGGAAAGCAACAGGTGAGGAGGCATTCAGGGCTGCAGGGCATGGTTGTCAGTAGCAAACATGGACACTTTATTCTGCCTTATGGAGAAACTCTTTTGAAGGTCAGGAATTCCAAGAGCAGCACTCACAAAAGTACAGGCAGCTATTCTGCCTGTGCTGATTACACACCATCACCACTCTGCCCTGCCCCAAGTGTAACAGTGCTGATTGCACACCCAAGTACACCATCACCTCTCTGCCCTGCCCCGAGTGTGACTGCTGATTGCACACCCAAGTACACAGTCACCACTCTGCCCTGCCCCGAGAGTGCCAGTGCTGATTGCACACCCAAGTACACCATCACCTCTCTGCCCTGCCCCGAGTGTGACTGTGCTGATTGCACACCCAAGTACACCGTCACCACTCTACCCTGCCCCGAGAGTGCCAGTGCTGATTGCACACCCAAGTACACCATCACCTCTCTGCCCTGCCCCGAGTGTGACTGTTGATTGCACACCCTAATACACAATCACCACTCTGCCCTGCCCCGAGTGTGACAGTCCTGACTGCATATCCCAGTACATCCTCACCTCTTGGACCTGCACTGAGTGTGATAGTCCTGTTTCCCCCCTCACCACTCAGACCTGTGCCAATCCCCATTCTCCCTGAATTTGGCATTCAGGGTAGAACACCATTTCCGTTCCCTGACCTCCCCCCCCAACCTATTCACCTCTCACTCCTTTCTGTACCCCATATGCATGTCCTTACAGTGCTGGATTTTGTGATTTATGCCCAGACTGTCTCTGCCCAGGGATCTCAACAGTCACCTTACCCCGCCTCCCTCTTAGGGCACTGGGCTGCATAGCTGTGGTCGCTCTCCTCAGGCACAAGGGCTCCAGAGAGCTGCCACTCACTCCCAGGACAGCATTTGGCAGACGTTCCCGGGTCCCTGGTCAGTGTGCTCTTAAGGAGCTGCGTTGTCTGCCCATGGGGAATCGGTAGGAAGCAGCGGCTGGCAGGCAGGACAGGGGGCTGCCCTTCTGAGGCGAGTTGTGGAGTAGAAGCCTCAAAAGGAAGTGGGGGGAAGTAGCAAGACCCAGACTGGGTTTTGTACCCAGCTCTGCCATTTTTCACCCTGGGGCTTCTGGCAAGACCCTTCCCATCTTAGTCCCTCTGAGGGATGTTTGTAAAATGCTTAGGAGAAGGTGCGAGTCCCAGGAATGGGACGTAATGTTGCTTCACAGAAATCGCATCGCTCTCCCGATCAGCAACGCATCTTCTAAATCAGCAGTACTGGTACTTAGCATTACCCCCTCTTTTACAGAGGGGGAAACTGAGGCACCGACTGGCAGAATGCTTTACCCAAGGTCCCACGGTGACAGAGCTGGGATGGGAACCCAGACATCCCTGCTGTGCCCTTGCCGTTAACCATCCCTACCTTGGCCAGTGAGACTGTTCAGCTCCCCTTAAGTCTGAACACCCCCCAATCCAGAGTACTTTGGTGGCTCTCATCTTCCTGGCCTTTGAGCACCCCTGCGGGATGAACATAGCCACTCAAAGGCCCGGCCTGGCAATGCAGCTCTCCCCGGTGACAAGGACTACCCCCTCGTTTCAGGGGACGAGCTAGGAGCGGTTGAGGGAGGCTGACATGAAGGCGGGGGGTGGGGTTTCTCACACAGGGGGTGTGGTGGGGGGGCTTTGCTTTTACCCTGGAGCTGGAGCTGCAGAACTGCGAGAGCGTTCCGTAGGTGGGCTCGCGGCTGCGCAGGCTGTCCAGCTGCTGCAGGGACTCCAGGCTGGGCGTCTGGCTGGTCAGGCCCTTTTGGAATCCATTAGCGCAGACCAAACAAAAACAGGACAGCGGATGATTGGCTCCACCAGCCAGTACATGTGCACTGAAGCTTTGAGCGAAGGCGGTAGCGCCAGGGAAAAGGAGGCAGGGTAGAATGGGCAGGGAAGGGTGCCCGCCCGGCGGTAATATGCTGGGGAAAAGGGAGCAGGATGTGGCAAGTTATGGAGGAAAGTGCCCAGGGCCGTCCTTCGGGGCCCTATGCAGCACTATTAAACAGCTGCTCCTATGCCCAATAGCAGGCTGGAGTGGGGGAATGGTGAATGTTTTTAGGGCTGTGATTTTATAATCTTCAGCAACACACCAATGAAATATCTTAAAGCAACTTTTAAACTAAGGTCCTGTCGACTCACACAGTAAATTCAGAAACTGACCGTCTGTACCTGGGGTTGGCCAATGCCTGTAAAATGGTTTCATTGCCACTCAAATGGCTCTTTCCCAGGTACTGTGTCTGCTCAGAGCTCTGGCAGGCTGCGTCACTTGTAAGTTTGCTAGTTCCTCTCCAGAAGAAGCAGCGCCACAGAGCAGGGGTAGGAAGAGGCAGGTGGGTGGGCATGAAGTCTCGGCGGTGCCCCATATTTTTGGGAGCCCCACATGGCTGCATATTCGGCAAATGGGCAAGGGCAGCTCTGAATGTACCTCTGGCTGCACAGCGCCCTGCCTGGACAGGTGGGACACCAGCACCGTGCCCACACACAATAGGTAAGTGTCCGGGCACATCCAGCCAGAGGGTCTGATTCTGGCTTCCGCCGAGCCCCCTGTTCTCACTTTAACTGCAACGGGAGATGCAGACGCACCCCCCCTCGCAGGATGGGATGAGGGAGTGGGGCTGGTGGCCAGGGTGTGCCAGATTCTGCCCTGCAGCGTGCTCACACCTGGCTGTCAGGTGTTCGAGGCAGGAGAGAATCCGTTCCCTTATGTAGCCGGTTGCGCTGAGCCTTTCCTGCCAAGTCATGTGGTGACGTTAGCCACTGGAGGGCGCCCACACGGCCCCTCTGACGGGAAGGAGGACACTGGAAAGTGAGAAGCACAACTTCATCGCACACGGAAAAGGAGGGCTGCAAAGTGCCAGCCCCGGAGCGGGTCCCTGGGCCTGCCAATCTCATGGAAGTCAGGCCTCGTCTGCGGGCTGCTCTGCTCCGCCCAGGGGAGGCCTCGTCCCATTTTCTTTCCAGCCGCCTTGTGCTCCCTGCCTCGGAGCCTGAGCCAGCCTCCCTGACGGCCGTGGGGAGGCTCCTGCTATGGTGGGGTGTTGGCTCAGCCCCCTCCTGGGCAGACTGCAGCCGGCGGAGGAGGCACACAGGAGGGGGCCGGCGGCTGAGCCCAGACCCCCCTCCGCTGCCACAGCCCGCGGCCAATTGGCGCCGAGACCTGGGGAAGCTGGTTTGCGGCTGCGGCCGGGGTCGCCTGCCGGGCGTGAGCGGCAGCATATGGGCCTGGCATATGGGCCCTCTCCAGCCTGTAGCGCGAGCAGGCAGGGATCCTTCACTTCAGATCAGAGCGCCACCGTTAACAAGCCCCATCTATCCGGGCTCTGTCGCTAGGCAACCAAAGCGCAGCTCGGCAACGCCGCTTTTATTTATTTAGAGCCTATCTGATGCCCGGACTGGTGATTGGCGGCGTATCCTCTGTTGCCACGACGACATATTGATACCCTGCCCCTGGGGCGAGGGGGAAGGGCCACCCCCCCCCCAAGCACACCTTAAAGCAAAGGGAGTGATGGCATTTCCTGCAGGAGGACAGCGGCTGCCTGGATCAGTCCCTGTGTCCCCCGGCCCAGCCTGGGATCGGATCACGGGGGACACCCTCGCAGCCCTTCCTCTGCTTGGTGCAAGGATGCTGGCAGGTCTAGGAGGGCCTAGCTCCCCTCTGGCTGGGGTCGGGATGGGCAGCGTGACTGAGCTAGTGGCTGGTGGGGCCCCAGGCCACTCCATGGGGAAGCTCCCCTTTGCCGGAGTGGCAGCAGGCCTGGGCCCCGTGAGGCTCCGGGGCAGCTGGACACTTAGGGGGTACCTTGCAGGTATCTCAGGGCTGCTCAAGGCAGCTGAGTAATAGAACACCCCCCACCCCTCCCAGCCAGGCCTGGGCCCACAGGCTGTAGTCGGCAGCAACAAGGTGCCATCAGGCCCTTGGCCGGCCCCTAAGTCCCCCAGCTCCACTGTTACTGAGGTCCATGCCCCTGCCGGGGGGCACTGCCTGCTCCCAGCACCCCTGCTGTCGCCCTAAGGCGGGAATTTGTGACGATCTGCGCAAGCCAAGCGGCCGCCCCCAGCCGGCTGTAGCTGGGCAGCAGGACCGCAGGGCTTGCCCGGAGGCTGGATGCCTCTCACAGCTGTACCTGGGTCCCTGGCGCAGAAGCTCTGGGACACGACTGAGAGAGCTTCGTCAAACTCCCAGCACAGGCCTCTCCAAGCATGCGGGGTCTGGGGGGGGGAGGGCGGGGAAGGACTGGGGAGCCTGTCGGGGAGATCCCCGTGGTGAGGACGCTGTGTGAGCTGGCAGGTGGGGGGGGGGAACTCACCATCCTCTGGCGTCGCTGCCTCCTGCGCAGGCGCATGAACTCCTTGTGCTGGCGCGAGACGAAGTTGACGGCCGCGTACTCCAGCAGGGCAGCGAAGACGAAGAGCAGGCACACGGCCATCCAGATGTCAATGGCCTTCACGTAGGAGACCTGCAAACCGGCATGGGCAGGGGAGGAATGGGTCTGGGCAGAGAGCACAGAGCCTGGAGGCTCCGGCCTATGGGAACGTGGCCATTCTCTGGCCAGGCCTCCCACTCACTTCTACTAGACAGAGCCTCTCACCATCTCCTCTGGCCTGCCCAGCCCCTTTCGCTTCTCCCTCTCCCTCCTGCCTTCTCCCTCTCACCCCCTTTTCCAGACACCCCCCAACACCCTCCTCTCTCCTTCCCTCGCTCTGCCTCTCCCACCCCACTCCACTCAGAGGCGATTGTGCTGAGGCGGTAAGGAGAGGGGCCCTCTGCCATCCTCTCCTGGCGGGGCCGTGTGGGGCTCGGGAGGGAGCCAGTGGGCCATGAGAGGAGGGGAAGAAGAAAAATCAATTGTGCGGCACTCGGTGCATTTTCCACCCATCTGCCTCCTGCCGTCTCCTGCTTTCATTAACAAAAAGCAGCTTTCGGATGTCGCTGCCGGTGCTTTGCCGAGCCCCTGCCGGCTTGGCCAGCAGCCCTCCACAGCAGGAGGCGCCTTCCCAGTGCAGCAAGAGGGAAGAAGGGTCTTGCTCCCCCTCGGCCCTGGCTGACCCAAGGGGCTGGCAGGAGCTGAGCTGGCTTTGCCAACGCACCTCCATGCTGGTCTGGAAGTCTCGGTTTCCTTGCCAGCCCGGCCCTGAGTTCCCCGGGAAGCCCCATGCAGCAGGGGCTCAGGGCTGTAGCAGGGTGAGATGCTTCTCCCCAAGCCCTGAAGCTGCTGGGGAGGAGCCACGTCACCTCCACATTGGTGCCGATAAGAAAGTTCATTCTGCTCAGGGATGGAAAAAAGTAGAGGGAACATGGGTCCTGCCCCACTCCCCACCCAGCCCTGCCGATGCCCCTCGTCCTGCTCTGTAGCCCCCTGCTCTTCCAGCCTGGAATCTCCTGGGCCAGTTGTACGAGGAGTCAATGGGCAGCAGGACCAGGCTCCCAAATCACTTGTGATCGAAACTCCGTCGTGCGAGGGGCTGGAAAGCGCTGCTGTTCCTCACCAGTGCCCCATTCACTTGTTCTCAGGGGCGCTGACGTGGTGTCTGCACCTCGCCTACCCTTATGGGGCCCTGATCGCCGCTGGGGCTTGTGAATACTGACTAACTCCTCGCTAGCGCTTGCTCTGTTGGAGCTGCAAAAACCCTCACTACAGCCCCCTTCCTCCTGCCAAAAACTAGAAACCTGCCCTTGAATTCCCCTCCAGGTCTGGCCCGTCCGCTCTGGCGGAACACAGAGCCAGGCTGAGCGTAGCACCCTACGTGCATCCAGCCTGTGGAGAGGATCTTTGTTCCCTCGATTCAGCCTTGCTAATGACCCCTCCATGGCTCAGTGGGTGCTTGTACAACTCCTCTAGGCCGTCCCTGCTTGGGCTTTCTGGCCTCTCTGCGTTTGCCTCTGCCTGGACCCCGGAGAAGATCAGATTTAGAACTGGATTCACTCTGTGTCAATAGCAGGGTGGCGAATGCTGGCGGGGAGGGGGGGTTGTTGCTTTAAAGGCAGGTGGTTTCTGAAGGCAGGCCGGAAAGGGTCGGGAATGTTCCCTCTCCACTTAGGGCCCGTCAGCACCCCAGCCTGCCTCTCCATCCCTACTCCCCCTCACAGAGCCCAGCTGGGATTCCTGCAGTCCCAGGGACTTCACCCACATCTAGGGAGGGACGCTTGGCGCACGCGCTGGTGGCCTCTTTTGTTTGCTCTCCAGGCACGGGGCTAGTTAGAAAACCCTGGCACCATTCTGGTGCTAGGAAGCAGGAAGAAACATTTTTCTTTTGAACTTGGAAGCTGTCAGCAGGCTGGGTGAGCAGATGGGCTGACTATGCTGGCCGGGGCCGGGTTGGCCAAAAGGGGCCTATCCTGGCAGCAGGAAGATAAGTGTGAAACACCTCCTTCAATTGCACCAGACAAGTGCGAAAGGCTTGTGAACTGAGCCTTCAGAGGCCAGGCTGGTGAGAGGCACGGTGCACGCTGGGGAGAAGCAAACTTCTGCGGTGCTCAGCTGGACTCCAGCCTACTGCCATAGAGAATCTGGCCCTGGGGGACTAGTGTTTGCACCCCCCAGGATGGGAGACCTCTGGTGTCTGGGATCTACCGTCAAGTTACCATCCCATAGGGGTTGTGGGAAGAGCCCTGGGGCTGATGGTCTTTTCTCCAGAGGCTGTGACAGAAGCAAAGGGGTCCCCACAGATTTCCAGACCCAACGCGGTCCCTGCACGGCAGCTGGCTGAGGCCGGGGGGTGGGAAGAGCCGTGGTGTCGGCACATGGAATAGGTGATACGGTGGCCTAGGCACGGGCAGCACAGTCCCTGCCCGCTTCCACTGACCTTCGGCAGAGAGGCGCGGGAGCCTGCACTCTGGGTGGTCATGGTCAGCACTGTGGTGATCCCCAGCCCGACCCGGGCGGGGGCCGCGTCCATGTTGATCCAAAAGGAGACCCAGGAGAGGATGACAATCAGCAGGCTGGGGATGTACATCTGGATCAGGTAATAGCCCATTTGCCTCTCTAGGTGGAACTTCACCTCGATGCAGGTGAACTTCCCTGCAAGGAGAGAGACACAGGACAGGTAGCACCACAGACGGTCCCTCGCTCCATCTGCGCAGCCCCAAGAGAGCGCGTGGTGACCGGGTCTCCGGTCCGAGCCCTCTAGCACATGGGCCAGGGCTGGTGTGCTGTGGCAACACAAAACCAAGGCACTGGCAGGTGTGGCCACTGGAGGCCTCTTTGTAAGAGCCGGGGCTGTCCTGGCAAGTGATAAGTCGGGGGGAGATGCTCCCAGCTTCCCCTGCTTTTCAATGGCAGACCATCTCCAGCCGCACTTCCAGTCTGAAATCGTTGGGCAGCAGCATGTTTCTGGAAGGGGCATTAGGACCACTCCCCCGCTCGCAGATACCCCAGAGCGGAGTTCCTGTGGGCAATGGGGGAGGGGTCCCAGTGCTGTGATGCTGTCGGGGCCGACGCCGGCTGAGCGGGTGCGGCGCGCACTGACCTGTGTTGTAATACTTTGTACAGTAGCCCAGATCCTTCTCGTCCCTCAGAATAAACTGCGGGAGCGTCAAGCCCTCGGCCACTTGGACAGCTTCTTGCTCTTCCAGCCACTCAAAGATCAGGTCATTCATGGTGTAGCCGACTGGCGAGCAGAGAGGAAGGAGTGAGAGAGGGCAGATGGAGCAAGGGAATGAGGGGAGAGAGTGAAAATTGGGAGTTGCTTCTCAGAACCCTGGGAGCAACTCCAGAAACTGGATGATGGAGACGCAGACTTGAGGCTGCTCCATGCTGCGGCCTCCGGGTCTCTACATCCAGAGCACTGGCTCAGGGCATTGACACTGATGTGAGCCCATTAGCTGGCAAGGGCTTGGCACAGGGGAGAACTTCCCCAGGAGGAATTCTGCCATGCCCTGTGCACCCCTGGCTTTGGAGGCAGATCTGTCCTGCCTAGCTGGACATGCAGTAATGCTGCCTGCATTGTGAGTCCCTGCCTTCAGGCCTCGGGACATGGAAGTGCTCCTCCAGGGAAGGTAACAGCCACAAACGTGTAGCTCTGTCGTGCGACAGTTGCACGTGCATGTGCAACATGCCACAGGCGTGCATGAGCTAAGAGACTCACGTGCAAGAGTAGATACACGTGCATGCCCATCATGCCACAGAGAGGCATGTCTCCACAGAAAGTCATGCTGGTGCAAACACACCAAGGCACAGACCTGAGACAGAGGCTATATGCACAGCGGGGGTGCAGTATTATCTTCCACACACCCAGACATCACTTACACTGCAGTCACACCTCAGACACCACTGACACTTGCAGGCATTCCCCCAAGCACAGCACAGCACAGCACAACATCTAGAACACACACACATACATGTGGATGGGGGTTTTCTACCAGCTGTCACCCTGGAGAAAACACACACACACACACAGATATGGATGGGGGTTTTCTACCAGCTGTCACCCTGGAGAAAACACACACACACACACAGATATGGATGGGGGTTTTCTACCAGCTGTCACCCTGGAGAAAACACACACACTAGAACACACACACACACATAGATGTGGATGGGGGTTTTCTACCAGCTGTCACCCTGGAGAAAACACACACACACACACAGATATGGATGGGGGTTTTCTACCAGCTGTCACCCTGGAGAAAACACACACACACATGATTTTTCTACCAGCTGTGACCCTGGACAAAACACGCACACACATGGTTTTTCTACCAGCTGTGATCCTCTTGCCAGGGGCTTATGTACAATAGAAGGCCTGTTACCCCCCTTGTCCACCCTCCTCCTGCAGGACAGCAGTCCCAAAGTGAGGGCCACTCACCCCAAAATGAAGGGGACAGTCGGGATCAGAATCCTCCCCACACTGTTTCTCTCAATTGCCCACTAATCACATCCCTTCCCTTCCTGAGCCCTCAGCTCCTTCCTTAGCTCATCTTCATTGCTGCCACCAGCCGCACCTCCTTTCCACATCTTCCTCCCTGCTGCACCCCATCTCCTTCCCTCCCAGTTACCCAGCAGCCTCCTCACGTCCGAGCAGCAGCAGGAGCTGCAGGGGCATGTGGGCTGAGGAGGATGTGGGGTTATCACTCTGGAAGGGGCCAGTACAGGAGGCAGGATGTATGAAGACAGCTGCTGCTGGCCACAGCTGCGGCGCCTCCTTCCCCTAGTGCCGCTGCTGCAGCCTGCAGAGATGCTGGGACAGACCTTAAGTCCCACCTCACATCCACACCCTCTGGGTACTCACAGCTCTCCAGCTGCATGGTGCATGTCTGGATGTCCATGGGGAAGTTCTTGAGATCCATGGGGCAGGAGAGGATCAGCGTCAGCCTGGGAGGAGCAGAAGGAATGGAGCAGATTTGCCTGAGGCCCCCGTCCTTGTCTTCCAAAGCAGGCTGGGGACTCGGGACCAGAGATCTGTGCTCCTGGGCCACAGCTAACAGCAGGCACAGAACCTCTCGCTAGTGCTACCTGGCTCCACCATGGGCCTGTGTCAATCCCGCTATCGGAGTAACTCCATGAGCTGGTAACAGGAATGGGCTATTAGCCACTGGGAGGGACGTGGGTGAGTCACAGGGTATTCATGCCAGTGTGCCGGGCCGGAGTCTTCGCACGGATAATGAAAGGCTGTGTCTACACTGGCAAGTTATTCCGGAAAATCAGCCACTTTTCCGGAAAAACTTAAAACACACACACACACAGATATGGATGAGGGTTTTCTACCAGCTGTGACCCTGGAGAAAACACACACACACACAGATATGGATGAGGGTTTTCTACCAGCTGTGACCCTGGAGAAAACACACACACACACAGATATGGATGAGGGTTTTCTACCAGCTGTGACCCTGGAGAAAACACACACACACACAGATATGGATGAGGGTTTTCTACCAGCTGTGACCCTGGAGAAAACACACACACACACAGATATGGATGAGGGTTTTCTACCAGCTGTGACCCTGGAGAAAACACACACACACACAGATATGGATGAGGGTTTTCTACCAGCTGTGACCCTGGAGAAAACACACACACACACAGATATGGATGAGGGTTTTCTACCAGCTGTGACCCTGGAGAAAACACACACACACACAGATATGGATGAGGGTTTTCTACCAGCTGTGACCCTGGAGAAAACACACACACACACAGATATGGATGAGGGTTTTCTACCAGCTGTGACCCTGGAGAAAACACACACACACACAGATATGGATGAGGGTTTTCTACCAGCTGTGACCCTGGAGAAAACACACACACACACAGATATGGATGAGGGTTTTCTACCAGCTGTGACCCTGGAGAAAACACACACACACACAGATATGGATGAGGGTTTTCTACCAGCTGTGACCCTGGAGAAAACACACACACACACAGATATGGATGAGGGTTTTCTACCAGCTGTGACCCTGGAGAAAACACACACACACACAGATATGGATGAGGGTTTTCTACCAGCTGTGACCCTGGAGAAAACACACACACACACAGATATGGATGAGGGTTTTCTACCAGCTGTGACCCTGGAGAAAACACACACACACACAGATATGGATGAGGGTTTTCTACCAGCTGTGACCCTGGAGAAAACACACACACACACAGATATGGATGAGGGTTTTCTACCAGCTGTGACCCTGGAGAAAACACACACACACACAGATATGGATGAGGGTTTTCTACCAGCTGTGACCCTGGAGAAAACACACACACACACAGATATGGATGAGGGTTTTCTACCAGCTGTGACCCTGGAGAAAACACACACACACACAGATATGGATGAGGGTTTTCTACCAGCTGTGACCCTGGAGAAAACACACACACACACAGATATGGATGAGGGTTTTCTACCAGCTGTGACCCTGGAGAAAACACACACACACACAGATATGGATGAGGGTTTTCTACCAGCTGTGACCCTGGAGAAAACACACACACACACAGATATGGATGAGGGTTTTCTACCAGCTGTGACCCTGGAGAAAACACACACACACACAGATATGGATGAGGGTTTTCTACCAGCTGTGACCCTGGAGAAAACACACACACACACAGATATGGATGAGGGTTTTCTACCAGCTGTGACCCTGGAGAAAACACACACACACACAGATATGGATGAGGGTTTTCTACCAGCTGTGACCCTGGAGAAAACACACACACACACAGATATGGATGAGGGTTTTCTACCAGCTGTGACCCTGGAGAAAACACACACACACACAGATATGGATGGGGGTTTTCTACCAGCTGTGACCCTGGAGAAAACACACACACACATGATTTTTCTACCAGCTGTGACCCTGGACAAAACACACACACACATGGTTTTTCTACCAGCTGTGATCCTCTTGCCAGGGGCTTATGTACAATAGAAGGCCTGTTACCCCCCTTGTCCACCCTCCTCCTGCAGGACAGCAGTCCCAAAGTGAGGGCCACTCACCCCAAAATGAAGGGGACAGTCGGGATCAGAATCCTCCCCACACTGTTTCTCTCAATTGCCCACTAATCACATCCCTTCCCTTCCTGTGCCCTCAGCTCCTTCCTTAGCTCATCTTCATTGCTGCCACCAGCCGCACCTCCTTTCCACATCTTCCTCCCTGCTGCACCCCATCTCCTTCCCTCCCAGTTACCCAGCAGCCTCCTCACGTCCGAGCAGCAGCAGGAGCTGCAGGGGCATGTGGGCTGAGGAGGATGTGGGGTTATCACTCTGGAAGGGGCCAGTACAGGAGGCAGGATGTATGAAGACAGCTGCTGCTGGCCACAGCTGCGGCGCCTCCTTCCCCTAGTGCCGCTGCTGCAGCCTGCAGAGATGCTGGGACAGACCTTAAGTCCCACCTCACATCCACACCCTCTGGGTACTCACAGCTCTCCAGCTGCATGGTGCATGTCTGGATGTCCATGGGGAAGTTCTTGAGATCCATGGGGCAGGAGAGGATCAGCGTCAGCCTGGGAGGAGCAGAAGGAATGGAGCAGATTTGCCTGAGCCCCCCGTCCTTGTCTTCCAAAGCAAGCCGGGGACTCGGGACCAGAAATCTGTGCTCCTTGGCCATGGCTAACAGCAGGCACAGAACCTCTCGCTAGTGCTACCTGGCTCCACCATGGGCCTGTGTCAATCCCGCTATCGGAGTAACTCCATGAGCTGGTAACAGGAATGGGCTATTAGCCACTGGCAGGGACACGGGGGGGAAAATCATGCCAGTGTAGACGTAGCCAAAGGGTTCATGTGGACCTGAGAGCATCTGGGGGATGCACCTGCTGTAATTAAAGATGACGCCCAGCTGGGGAAGAGCTGGGTGGGGCGATACATCTGGCTCAGAAGGAGCTGCAGGTGAAGAGCTTTGCCGTTATTTGCTGGAAGATGCAGGGCTGGACTCAGCTGACCCCATGGCAGAAACTGGAGCCCTGGGAGGGTGGACCTGAGAGCATCTGGGGGATGCACCTGGTGTAATTAAAGATGATGCCCAGCTGGGGAAGAGCTGGGTGGGGCTATAAATCTGGCTCAGAAGGGGCAGCAGGTGAAGAGTTTTGCAGTTATTTCCTGGAAGATGTAGGGCTGGAGTCAGGCCCTGCAGCTGACTCCATGGCAGAAACTGGAGCCCTGGGAGGTGCTGCTTGAGTGGAGGAATAGGCCTGAAGAAAGCCTAGTGGAAGGAGGCCAGGGAGGCAGCTGCAAGGCCTCTAACAGAGCAGACCTTGGCTGCTTGGCCAGGGCTCCCTGGTTTGAGTCTCAGAGCAGAGGCTATGTCTTTGTTTCCCTACCAACTGCTGGGAAGGTGGCATGAAGCCCCTGGCTGCTAGAGGCTAAGGATGCTCTCTAGACCTGAGAGCCACTGAGCTGAGAGCTGGGGTCTTGGTGCAAAGACACTGGATTATCTGTGAGGCTCTGCTGTTGTGGGAGGGACAAAATGGTCGTGGGGCTCTCCTGGGGCAGTGATCAGAAGAGGCAAGACCCCCAAGCAGACCAGAGTGGATCTTGGCAGAGGGTGCTGGAAAGTGAAAGGATACTACAGCATGGCCTGCTGTGCTGCGGGACGCCTCTGGGGATGGTCCCTTCTGCACAAGTCAGAGGATCAAAAGGTTGAGGGAAATGTGGTCCAGATGAAATTGCTATATGGTGGATGCATGATTCTGTGTGTGTGTTTTAAAAAAAAAACCCACCATACTTTCACTTGCCATCAGTGGCTTGCTGTCCAACTGGTAGGCTGTATCTGGTGGGCCCCCAGAAGTACATCCTGGGTCTGGTACTATTCAGTATGCTCATTAAGGACTTGAGTATGTGTATAAAATCCCTGGCTAACACCCAGCCGGCAGGGTAGCAAGCCCTTTGGAAGACAGGGTAAGAATCCAAAATTACCTTGGTAGATGGGAGAGCGGCCCTGAAATCTACAAGATGAAATTCAGTAAAGACCACTGCAAAACCCATAAAAAGGAGATTCCAGTGCCTCACTACCAAATGGGGACTAACGGGCCAGGTGGGAGCATTGCCAAAAAGAATTGGGCGTTAAAGTGACTCACAAAAGGAATGAGCTAATAATGGGGTGCTGATTGTTCTGGGGTGTTGTCTAAGACCACGGCAAGGCCTCAAGCTGGAGAGCTGCATCCAGCTTTGGGCACCTGGCTTAGGAACCAAGTGGCAAAGTGCAGAGTCCAGCAGACAGCACCAAAAGTGAGCAGAGCTTTAGAAAATGCAGCCTGCAAGGAAAGGCTGAAAGAACTGAAAATTAAGTTGGG